CACACGGAGAATTATCGCCGAATACCGTAGACCCTCCTGCATATAACGCATCCGGAGTAGAGACTTGCGGTGGGGTGCTGGGTGGCACGACGTGGCTTTGGTTTGTCTGCATGATCGGGGAGCTGCTTGCGCTGCTCGGTGGCGTTTCCGGCACGATCTCCTCAGGTACATGTTCTCGTTCTCCATGAACGGCCTCGTATGCCGCTGCGACAGCCACTTGTAGGACACTATTCAGCTCACTGGACCTCGTTGGAGCGGAAAAGGTTCCTGGGACCAACGCAAACGTCCGAACCTTTCGCCACTTTGTCTTGACGCGTGACAGGGGGTTTCCGAGGCAGTTTGTCACCTTCTTGACCATCATGTTCGTCGGTATCGGTTCCTCAGTGTTTACAGTGACGGGGAAGTCCACGTCGTCACCGCCGTCGACACAGATGACGACGGCGCGACGATACCCTCGGTGGTCGCCGCAGACAAAGGCACGGGAGAAATACTCTATCATGTCCCCAGCGTGGAGCGCCTCCGGTGGCAGCTCCGACGCGCTGAGACCCGGCATCGCCCTGTGGTGTGCGCTGGACGGCGCAGGCTGGTCAGGACCCTGGGGCTGCTGGGGCTTTCTGGACAATGAAGGAAGCCACTCAAAGATCCACGGGTGCCACACTTCGTAGTCACATTAGTGTCACAAATGCCAACCATGATGCACGCTGCCTGCTCATCCATCTCCTGTGCAAAGCTGTGCGCAGCCGAGCACCAGGTTGCCCTGTCCGTGCGTATTGTGGGTGATGGGCTACGGTGTTATTCAGATTCTAACCTGTGTTTGTTATATTCCCTCGTTTATTTAGTAAATCCACCGGCTTTGTTCTCTTATAATTCATTATTGACATCGAGTATTTTAAAATGATTACTTCGCCATAGCAAAATGACGACCTTGATCACGCCGGTGCTCTCAGTTACTCCCCTTGGTACATCTCGTTGGTGACCTTCTCAACTACAGTCTGGGAGCTTATTAGCTCAACAGCAAGCTTCATGGTGTTTTGGACTTTCTTCAACTTGACCATGGCTGGCAGCCATTGGCTGCCCGTAGTATCCAACTGTCATCTCATCGAATCTTCGGCGGGAGTTTTGACGTACAAACAGCTCTTGGCTAGTATGCAGCTGCCCGAAAACCCAAGCGAATTTGCATCATGTGGAGAGAATGTCCTAGTCGAGAGCGCGGTAAGCACTGAGTCCGCTGTTTGCGGGACAGTGAAATGGCTGCACCAATCTGCGTCGGGCAGATCGTCGCTAACCCTTTTAATTTGCATTTCTGTGGAAAGCAACATAGTCCATGCTTACGGTATACCTGTGATTAGATATCCTTCTCCCTCACATGTAGGCCGTCAATAGCGTTGCTAAATGCTTCATTCGGCAAGCGTGAATCTCGGGCTGCTGAAAAACGCAATACGAAAGGACTATTATAAGAAACATGCACCATTTGTGCAAACATTTCAAGGAATTACTGCAGAAGTACGATATTTAATTAAATTACACTATCTGCGGGATCGCTGTTGTTTTGCACAGTTTTTTTACTCTCAATATTTATATTATTTTTCACTTCTCTCAACCCTTCAGTTTGGTTTTGTGCAAGCTGCCAGCTCTAGAAGCATTCTTAAGTCATCTTTACGGTATCGTTTGCAGTAGGGTATTGTCCCGGCCAAAAAGGCTCGGACGGAAAATAAAAAAATCAGGTGGCCCAAATGAATTTGATAATATCTCGTCTTCCTGATGAGAGCTTAAGACGTGCTTACCCTCCTTTGTTAGATGCCTGTCTTAAGAAACTGCTCAGGCATGCAGTCGTTTCTTGGAGCGGTTAATTACTACAGCCGCTTCATTCAAGACTTCGCGGTCTACGGTGCGGCGCTGTACCAGCTCAAGGATGAAGACTTTGTCGTTGAAGGTGGCCTTTCTGTGGCACGTCATTCCTTCGAAAGATTGAAGACGAGTGTTTCACATTCACCCATCCTCAGGCACTTCGATCGGTCGAAAGAAGTTCACGTCATGCTCTTTGCGAATGAATGGGCGCTGAGCACTACGCTAATGCAAGAACATGAAGGCAAGTTACACCCCGTGTGGTTCCTCGGTCGGGTGCTTAAGGAAGCCGAGATGAACTACCATCCAGCTGAGAAGGAAGTTTTGGCGTTACTTCTGCTGTTGAAGATCTGTTACGTCCAGCTGGCAGGAAAGACGCTACATGTCTATACACGATTCTCGACGTTAGAGTGGGTGCATAAGTCGAAGTCTCTCTTCGGACGCGCGGTCCAGTTCGCAGTGCTGCTATCGCAGTGGCACCTTAAGGTGCAGCGCGTGAAGGTGAAGGATGTCGCCTTCGCGCAGCTACTGCAGTCAAGCATCACGAGCTTCGTCGACCTGGAAGACTCGCTCGCGCCGGTGGCGCCTCCAAACAAGGGTTTTTCGACTATTCGAATAGACCCCGCGTTGCTGTACGCCAGGCTTTCCCGTAATTACAGCGGATTCGTCATGTCTTTTGACGGATCAGCGAAGACAGAGAAGTACGGTGGCTACGGGAGTTGTTCATGGGTGCTGTGGAGCCTTCCTGAGTGGAAGGTAATGATTGCTGCAAACGCTTACCTCTCGGCTACCACGGTGAATGAGGCAGAGTATACAGGTATGATAAACGGTGTCAAGGCTGCTATTACGCACGGTACCGAGGATTTAGTCATCGTTGGTAACTCAAGGCTCGCGATTCAACAATCACTAGGGGTGATCGCATGCAGGAAGGAAACTTTGCTAGCGCTGCTGAATACTCACAAGGAACTCACGGCCAAGCTTCGATCAGTTAAATATCTTCACGTTGTACGAGAATACAACGCGGCCGCGGATTCGTTAGCCAC